CTCAAATCTTTCATATAGTTAAAAAGTATTTTTCTAGTCTGGGTATGAGTAGTGTCAGTTTGAGACGACCTATCCAGGTTAGGGTCCAGGGCGCAATTGAAGTCCCCTCCTATGATATAAAGGCCCTCCAAGGTTGATATTGTGAGAAATAGATTTTCATAGAAGGATGGGTTATCCTCGTTGGGGCCATAGATATTTATCAGGTTTATTTCTAACATGGAGATACGGCCCTGCACAATTACATATCTCCCGTTTGGATCTGTAATCACCCTCGTAGTTTGAAATGGGATTGACTTATGTATAAGAGTAATGACCCCTCTGGCATGTCTAGTAAAAGAAGAGTAATATACCTGACCCTGCCATCTTTTGGTTAATAAATGTATCTCTGATGCAGTAAGATGAGATTCTTGTAGGAAAATAATTCTAGAGTTAGAATGTTTTAGTCGGTTTAATACTTGTTTCAGTTTAACTAACTTCCGTATCCCCCTAACGTTCCAGGTCGTAATGTTAACATTCAAAATGTTTTCTTTAGTTGTCCTCTCCATAAGATATTGTCAGACTGTTTACTTGAATAAACAAAGTAAAGGAAAAATTGAAGAAGCGGGTTTGCACATACATTCACACACTCACACATACCAGATAAAGAACTTGTAAACAATTCCTGATTGAACATTTGCATTTCCTTGTTGGAAATGTCTCCCCCCTCCCTTGAACAAATTATTTGGAGGGCGTTAATCCACATCACTGAGGAGTAACTAGTCAACGCGACCTCTCCAAAACCCCATAAATCAGACAGTGTACACTAACCATATAATGATACTGATTTTTTCCCCCATAATAAAGTAAAGTTTACCCTTGGTAGGACAAAACAAAACAAAAAAAAGACTTAGTTGAGGTTCAGCTGCTAATATACAACCCAAAAACGATTGCGATCAAACTTAGAACGAATATGCGTTTAAAAACGCCCAGTTATGTTAACATAAGTCCCACATAAATTCGAACTCAAAGTTTTATCTGTCTCTTATCAGTGACTCAATTACTGGTCGGTTATGTTGAAGCACAGGCAGTCTTATGGAGTGTCTTAATGGTTAACCTGTTGTTTAACCGACTCACTGGTGATGAGCATCCTCTGCTGTTTCCTTCGGCAGATTCTTGTAGAATTTTTCGGCTTCTTGAGGTGTTGAGAAGAGGTGGATCTTTCCACCGTACAGGATCCTGAGTCTGCATGGGTTGTGCTGGAATCCACGGAAGGCATTGATATCAATAAACAGTTTAACAACCGGGTGAAATCCCCGTCGGATCCGAACCGTCTCCGCAGACAGATCCTGTGCAAATGTGATCTTGGCCCCATCATGTGTAATTTGTTGTTTTCTTGCTTCCCGATATACCAGTTCCTTCTCTTGAAATTTTAAGAA